TTCAGCTCAGGGCTGGGAAGGTGCTGGGGAAGCCTTTACTACTCCTCTTACATTTCCCTCCCTGGTTGGGCAGTGATGGACGCCTGTCGCAGAGAACAGAGTTGGTTGTTAGATATTTAGATTAAGCTCCCTGTCTGAGGGTGCTGGGCTGGCTCTGTTTCCCTCTTCAGCTGGGATCTAAGAACACCCACCAAAAACAAGGTCTATTAGAATGACTCTGCAGTGCAGAGATAGCCAAGGAGGGCAAGAGCTGACTCTCCAAGAGGACAAAAACTTGTACTCATAAAGAATATTATTTGGACAGGAATCCATATTATATAGTAAATTAAGCAAATTAAACACAGGTTTTCTTTAATCTTTTAACTTCAAGCATATGCACTGAAGCTCAACAGAAATTTAGCACCACTCTCAGACTGATAAACAGCCTGGCATGCAAGCCTCAAAGAAAATTTAAGACAGAAGTATTTATTTGGCAAAGAAGAGTTTAGGAAGTAGTAGTAGTGATAATGGGTATCTTTCCTACTCTACAAATAGAGATAAAATTAATATAAATAGTGGGAGTCAATTTTTGGTCTTCTGCATGCTAATACAAACTCATAAAACTTTATTTGAAGTGCAACAAGATAATCTACATATCAAAGCACAGCCAGGGAGTACCTGTGTGATGTGCTAAGTAATTTTTAAGCACTATTTGAAGGGAAAAGAGGTAATCCCTTATGTGCTTATCCATGCACACATGGGTGTAAGCATGCCGAAGCTATGGAGAACCCTGGAGTTGTGACAGTAAGAAGGAGACATACTATGTCCTGAAAGAACATAATATTCAGGAATGCTTTATTTTAAGTCTATTGGAGGAAAAAATGAGAATAGATGAAAGGAAGTTTAATGACTGCTAGACTAATGAAAATGTTGACTTATAAATGGTGAAAATTCGAATTTCCCCATGCTGTTCTGGACTTTGCTGTTTGTTGCAGATGAGCAGACCTCAATTAAAGTAACTGAGCTGTGTGTGGATAGACTTATCTGCTCACTACAAGTTTGTTGCAGGATTAGACTCATTATTTGAATTTCCAGATCTTCAACAGTACTGTGTTCATAACGTGTGAAAGCAAATTTAACTGATTTAATAGGGGAAAACCTTTTTATAGCACTGACTTCTATGGACAAAAAGGGATTTACAATGCATTTGTTAAGATATTACACACGTAGCCCAAAATTCCCCTGGCCTTTACTGAGTTTTGGATCCAGTCCTTGTTGGGGGGGGGGAGGGGAAAGCCAGATTATCACACAAATACAATATTTAATCTCCAGATATTCTGCTTCAAACAGTGTAATTGTGTAATTGAGTTTGATAGCTCCATGTTTATTATTATGCCAAGACATTAGCATAATGAAAAACATGGAGGGAAATGTCATACATACTCCCACACACCTATGCAAATATAATTGCTCTCTGTATTTCACAGTAGACCTTCTATAGGAATCATTATGCCTATTCCATCTAAAAAATAGCTGTTGTGTAAAAAATGTTTGAAAATAGAATTTTATTTTATTTACCATTAAATAAACCAGTCCAGCCAGGACTACCTTCCCTATGAGTACATACACATGTATACGTTTATGTATATCACACGACAAAGCTTGGCTGCTAAACACAAACCCATACTTCAGCTACACGAAGAATTTTCTCACTAATCATCATCCACTTGTTGCACCTCCCCTGAAAGGACCAAATCTCTCTTAAATGCAGTGTTTCACCAGCATCCCTTCACACAACAGGCCTTTGCACAGCATTGCGAACTCGTGGAGGAAATGAACTCATTCCATCCTCTCTACGTATTTGCGTGAAGCCCCGCACAATGGGGCTGAGGTTTCTTTGGGGCCCCTGGGTATGACTGCCATACAAGTAGTGACTAAAAACAACAGACCACCAGAGATTGCTGAGATCCATTGGCTGCAAGGAAAAATAAAACCTGGTCCATAATAAGGGCATTCTACACCTGATTGTATGTATAAATGTAGTTGAAACAATAGGACTTAGTGAAAATCTTAGGGGCACCTCCTCAATCTCAATCTGGCTTTTCAGACAATGGTAATAAAAATAAATTATTCTGTGATTTGTGGAAAAATGAACAAGATTTAAGATTTCCACTAAAGGCAACTCATTTAAATGCATCCATGAACTTCTGTCTCCTTTTTTCTTTTTCTTTTTCTTTTTCTTTTTCTTTTTCTTTTTCTTTTTCTTTTTCTTTTTCTTTTTCTTTTTCTTTTTCTTTTTCTTTTTCTTTTTCTTTTTCTTTTTCTTTTTCTTTTTCTTTTTCTTTTTCTTTTTCTTTTTCTTTTTCTTTTTCTTTTTCTTTTTCTTTTTCTTTTTCTTTTTCTTTTTCTTTTTCTTTTTCTTTTTCTTTTTCTTTTTCTTTTTCTTTTTCTTTTTCTTTTTCTTTTTCTTTCTTTTTCTTTTTCTTTCTTCTTTCTTCTTCTTTTTCTTCTTCTGCTTCTTCTTCTTCTTCTTCTTCTTCTTCTTTCTCTTTCTCTTTCTCTTTCTCTTTCTCTTTCTCTTTCTCTTTCTCTTTCTCCTTCTCCTTCTCCTTCTCCTTCTCTTTTTCCTTTCTCTTTTTCCTTTATCTTTTTCTTTTTTCTTCCTCTTTTTCCTTTCTCTTTTTCTTTTCTTTTCTTTTCTTTTCTTTTCTTTTCTTTTCTTTTCTTTTCTTTTCTTTTCTTTTCTTTTCTTTTCTTTTCTTTTCTTTTCTTTTCTTTTCTTTTCTTTTCTTTTCTTTTCTTTTCTTTTCTTTTCTTTTCTTTTCTTTTCTTTTCTTTTCTTTTCTTTTCTTTTCTTTTCTTTTCTTTTCTTTTCTTTTCTTTTCTTTTCTTTTCTTTTCTTTTCTTTTCTTTTCTTTTCTTTTCTTTTCTTTTCTTTTCTTTTTTCCTTTCCCTTCCTTTCCCTTCCTTTCCCTTCCTTTCCCTTCCTTTCCCTTCCTTTCCCTTCCTTTCCCTTCCTTTCCCTTCCTTTCCCTTCCTTTTTCTTCATTTTTCCCCCCCTTCTTTTTCTGTCTCACATGAATTTCCCATTTCTGACCATTAGACCCCAGCACTGGACCCTTCACTCCATTCCACCACCTTGGACAAAGCCCAGGTCCCACGGGGCGAGGGCTGTTATTCCTGCAGTGGGAGCAGGATGAGACCGGTGGGGCTGAGCAGCCTTGTGAAGGGCAGCACGTTCTGCATTCACCCGCTGATACCATCCGCAGCAAAGCACAGCCTGGGCTTCAGGTGGGTAAAATTCCCAGGCAGCGGCCCAGGCCGGCGAAGGACGAGGCTGCCAGGAGCACGGCTGACGGATACTCGGGCGTCTGTGTGAAAAATTCTCAGGGAAAATTCTTTCTCTCTCTCTCAGGCCCCTAAACTCTTTGTGAATGGGGCCAGTGCAACATGTGGCCTTTCACCTCACCCAAGAACCACTGCCAGACAGCCACACTCGGAGAATTGTTTGTTAATAGTCCAATTAGATAATTGCCATCTTTCACTCCTTTTGCTCTACATTTCCCATAAAGGAATGAATAAGGAGAGCAGCATGAAGAGGGCTTCTGCCCTGCAAAGTGACAAGAAGGACTGGAGCATGCTCTTTGCACAAGGCCATTTGCTTGAATTGAATCATTGTAGCCTAATCAATGGTCTTATTGGATTACTGGCTGTTGCGGTTCTCAAAGATATTGTAGCAGAGACAATGAAATAGCTAGAGTAAAACTTTTTTTCTCCTTTAGTGGATCACGCAGTTGAGATTTTTCACGGGCTATCTCTCTCTCCCTCCCTCCCTCCCTCCCTCCCTCTCTCCGTCTTTCTCCCCCTCTTTCTTTCTCCTCCCTCCTGGATCCACTGCATCCCCCTCCCCCAAAGCTGGCTTTCCCCCCCCCCCCCCCTTTTTTTTTTTCAATGAGCAGGCTCTGCGAATAGGTTCAGTGTTTGCGAAGGTGCAGAATTAGCACACACACATGCACGCACACATCCACACACACACAGAGGGAGAAGCACAAAAAGCAAGTATCGGGACTGAAATAGGGAGAGGTAGGAGTTTAAGATGGCTGTCTGTGGGGAGATGTGTTAAGGAGGATTTCTGCTGGCCAAGAAAACCTGCTTCCTTGGAGAGATTTGCTTGGAGGAACAACTTTTTGTGGGTGTGCGTGCTGGGGATCTGTTTGTTTGTTTAGAATTCAGGGGGCTTTTTTTTTTTTTTCACCCTCCTACAACTGCATTTTTCCAGCCCTTCCTAGCAGCTTTATTCAGATTTATTTGGCGTGCTTTGGAGAAAGCCACTGTATAATCGGGAGGTCAAAGGCGTACTGAAGAAAGTTAATAATGGCTGCTAATGGTGCTAACAATTCAGGGTGAATCTTGTCAAAAGTTGGGGGGTTTTTTTCCCTCTCCTTTTTTTTCCTCTTTTTTTTTTTTTCCTTTTTTTTTTTTTTTTTTTTTTTTTTTTTCTGGAAGTCTCAGTCTTTTGATTGTGTGTTTCCTGAAAGCAAGACCAATCATTTCAGTTTATTCACTGGCTAAACTCTACTTGATTGGGGACAAGCACACAAACCATCCATTACGATCTGATATATTATCCAAACAATTTAGTGTATTCATGAGGTAACCTAAATGTGGAGGCTGCAAAATTACCCGTAATCAATTGAAACAGCGAGTGCGCGTCCCTCTGTGTGTCTAACAACTGCATGTCTCTGTAATAAGGCAGACATTAAATCATTTTAGAGTTGTACTGTTGAGTACCTGATCACTGGGCGCTCTGGGAAGCTGGACAGTCACATTAGGACGCTGGGACTGAGGAAGCCGCTGCTTTTCCAGTGGGATAAAACCCGATCTTCCTTACTCAAGGTGCTTTACAGATCCCCACCGATCTGACCCTAAGCCGTGCAATATCCAGCATAGACTTCGCCTTCTTCTTCTTCTTCTACTCTTCTGTATTATTTTTTTTGTTTGTTTTGTTTTTATTGCACTACATGTTTGGGAAACAAGACAAAATGGACGTTAGATGCAGTTCAGAGACTGAAGCGAACCGGGTCTCGAAGAACGGACATAAAGAGGGCAAGGAAAGCAAAGGGTCTGAAGGAAATATTTCTACTTCTTTTTTGAAGGATCAGCAAGGGACTTTTTCTGCTTCTGCAGCTACGGAAGATTGTAATAAAAGTAAATCTAGTTCGGCTGATCCGGACTATTGCAGGAGGATCCTAGTCAGAGGTAGGAGTTGGAGGTATTTCGCGAGGGGGGGTGGGGAGGTGAGCTCCGCTCACGCCCGGGAAATTCGTTTATTTTGTTGCTTTGCCTTTGGTCCATCCCTGGGTGAAAAAGACCTTCCTGCTGCTCCGGGGGAGAGACCCCACGTCCGGGCGGGTCCCACCCGCCTCTATCGCGGCGGATCTCCGGCAGCGGCTCGGGGCAAGTTAACCCGCGGTGCTTCCTCCCGCTCCTTTGGATCGCTTTTGGTTTGGGTTTGTTTTTTTCCCCTCTGCTTTGCAGCTTTCCAGGGGTTCCCGTGTCCGCGGAGAGCCCGTCGAGATCAGCTCTCCCTCGGAGGGGCCGCGGTTCTGCCCCACCGGCCGGGCGCGCTCCTTCCGCGTCCGCGTATCCCGCCCGCTGCCGCGTACAATGGCGCGGGGCTGCGGTTCCCGCCCGGCTGTGGGAGCGGGCAGGAAGGGCCTCTCCGGAGGGCAGGAGCTGCCGTTGTCCCCCGCACCCTGCATCCCAGCAGAAAGGGATGTTTTTAAATAACCATCAGCCTTAAAATCAACGGAAAATGACGAAGGGTTTTTAAATTATATTTTTTACTAGTTATACGTTTTGTTTTCCTCAACCCTTGTCTCCTTTCCAGGCTAAACTGTTTAAATCACTCGATTCTTACCCTCTCAAAAAAACCTAACCAAACAAAAAAAAATCACCTGAAGAAATTTCGGTTTTATTTATAAAAGGTGCGTTTTGGAGAAAGAGAGAGAGAAGAGAATCGGAACTAAATGAGTGCGAAGCAGGCCTTGTAAACAATAATTAATCCTTGAGCGACCGATTGACCCAGAGAGGGGTCAGATTAAAATGATGTGGTTGTCTCCGATTTAAAACATACCGAGAAGGTAAAATTACGGAAAGCGAAGTTGGGAAGGCTTTAATGTAACGCGAATCTGGCTCGAGCTTGACAGTCGTGTTAATAAGATTTGTCCCGCTTTCCTTCAGTCGGGGCTACCAGAAAAACTGAGGTTTCTCCTGGCTCTTTGGTGCCTTGTTTGGTTTTATTTTTTCCCCTCCTTCTTCTCTTCTTTGCCAAAACCCAAAGCAGCGGCGGTGGCAATGCTTTCCCGGGCTGCTGGGTGGGCTGGAAGTGTCCCCAGATTCGGGGTGGGCAGTCAGCCAGCTCGGGGACAGCGGTGCCTCTGCCCTGAAAGCTCCTGCCTGCTTTTTTAGTACTGGAAACTCATTCTAAAAAATAATAATAATAACATTAATAAGAAGGTTTGATATTTGGGGTGTGTGTGGCAGTTTCCAGCAAGCCCTAAGCCGGAGCTCAGGCGGAACAAAGAGTAGCCCTGCACTCCAGGCACAAAGCCCGGCCTGGAGGATCTCGCCCCAGCCTCCCCGAGGGACCGTGGGTGATGCCGCAGTGTCGTACTGCCAGTGCAACACATTCGAGTCCATTTTTAAACGGTCTGAAGGGATAATTTTTAGAGCCCTGGGCTCCCATCGCCCCCTCTTTCCTTCTCTGTTGGTTTGTTTTGGTTTTATTTTTCCTTCTCGGGTGCAGTGACCAGGTGCAGCGCTGCAAAGGGCGCTGCACCCCAGAAGGGCGGATGTCAAGAGGATGGGGCCAGACTCCTTTCAGTGGTGGTCAGCGATAGGACAAGGGGCAACGGGCACAAGCTGGAACACGGGAGATTCCTCTTAAACATGATGAAAAACTTCTTTACTGTGAGGGTGCCAGAGCACTGGAACAGGCTGCCCAGAGAGGTTGTGGAGTCTCCTTCTCTGGAGATGTTCAGAACCTGCCTGGATGCAGTCCTGTGCAACTTGTCCTGGGTGAACCTGCTTTGGCAGGGGGTTTGGACTAGATGATCTCCTGAGGTCCCTTCCAACCCCCACCATTCTGTGATTCTGTGCAACCTCAGGGACCCTGCCCCATCCTGACTCGGGCTCGGTCTTGAAGGCGCTGGCTCTTTCCTTTGGAAAATTAAAAATAAAAATAAAAAGATAAGTGTGTTGCCTGGGTGTAAAGCTGACTACGTCTTTCTTTGTCAGATGCCAAAGGTTCAATCAGAGAGATTATTCTGCCTAAGGGGCTTGATCTGGACCGTCCCAAGCGAACCCGCACCTCC